ATGATCTCGTGTGTATATTCGCATCATATTTACTACTTCTTCAAACAATTCATTTCGACCGTACGTGGATATGATATTTTTTCAGCTCTGATAACAACTACGCTTTGAAAGTACAATTATTATATTTTTATTGTCGTGAAAAATAGCAACTGCCATCAAAATGTTTCATCAGAATACCACTTAGATGTTCCGTTTTAATATTGGTTTATAACTTTGTAATAAAACATTTCTAGCTAAACTTCATATATATATATATATATAACTTTTCGATAAATTAATCCTTAATTCTCTACTGTGTGAATTCCTTTTATCTTTTCTAATGCAACTAATCTAATATCAAGAAGACAAGTACACTTGACAGATTTCTCATTTCTTCAACGACGTTCGAAACTAATTTTCTACGAAATTGAGATTCCTCCTAAATTCAGAGATACCAATAACTCAGTAGCAACGAGAGTTAATATTAATTGCTCACCTTTATCTCGTGTTGCAACTCATCACGGGCATACCGTCGAGAGCGTCTAACTTCCGTCACAGCACGACTAGTAGTCCACTCTCGATCTGCTACCCTTCTCTCGGCGATTATGCGTGCCGTGTGAGAAGGGAGTAGTATCGCACCCCTTTCTTCCGCTCGGAAGATGCGCGACTGATGTGATGTTGCACCGATATCTATCCGTTCATCGCGATCCTCGCTTTCTCTCTCTTCTTTCCTCTACTCTCTCTCTCTCTCTCTCTCTCTCTCTCTCTCTCTCTCTCTCTCTCTCTTTTCCTCTCTTTTTTTTCTGTTTTCACTTGCTCATCATTGCGTTGTGCTGAGACCGAATCAGCTTTTTCGTTTGTCGAGTGGACCACCCTATCAAATGTACATGTCTTTTGCCATTTTAGATTTTGCGTTCCGTAAGATATGAACGGCTCTCGGAACCGACCGGCACCGACTGAACTCCTACCGGACGGCAACCCGGAGGACGATGTTCATGCTCCTGCGCCCCGCAACCCTTGCCAAACGACGCGGCATTAGGCGTCCTCTGGCATAGATTTCAAGAATGGATCAGCAACAAGGTTGATAATGTAAAATTCTTGCATCGATACGAGTCTACCAACATTGCATAATTCTCACTAACGTTTAACTATAAATTACTGTTTTACTTAGATAATATTATATAAACATAAAAAATATTTAAAAATGAATTATAATTAATGTTACATTGGAAGAAACTGTCTTGTATATACAAACGTTAATTTTCTCATTTTCTTTAAATTATGATTATAATATCTTGCATCATTATATTAATTATTTTCATTTCAATAATATATTATATTATATTCGATTGATATATTTGACGAATTATTATATTAACAATCTGGCTTTTAATTATATATTTATTAAAAATCAAAAGCTACATAAGTGATTTTTTTTAAAAACTAATTAAAATTTGAATATATTGTAATAATACAAATTTATTAGATATTTATTGTCTCCAAAATTTGGCATTTCCTTCTTCAGTTTGTTAATAACAAAGAATTAATAACAAAGAATTAAATTTTCTTTTTACTAGCTATTGATACAATAAACTAAAAGAGTTTATCGATAGAGTGAGTACCAAAGTATGCTTGTACACCGATAAATAGCATCAGTCGATAGGGCCAATTCAATAGTTAAATGATAATTGATCAAAATATATATTAATATTAGAATATATATTAATATTAGAAGAAAAAAATATAAAAAGAAAATAAATCTAATTT